GTCGCCTTCGTCACCGCGACCTCGACGACGTTCGCGTGCCTCCGCAGAACTCGCCGAGCAAGTTACCTGGTCGACCACCAAGTACTCTGGTCGACCACCAAGTGCTCTGGTCGACCACAGCTCCCGTCGAGGAACACCCTGGTCGACGGACCCCTCTGTCGACCAGCACTGTCAGCTGCTATCGCCGAGCTTCCCTCGTCGACTGCCACTCACATGTCCTACGCAGGTCGACGGACTGCTCCGTCGACCTCCCCGTCGAACTGCTCCTCCTGGTTGACGGCCCGCCCGTCGACCAGCCCAGTCAGCTGCAGCTGTCGAGCTCCCTGGTCGACGGCTCCAGCCCCGTGACACACATGTGCAGGTCGACGACCACTTCGTAGTCCTGCCCCGCTAAAGAAGGCCGTCGAGCTCCCTGGTCGACGGCAACACCACAGTGATTCCCTGCAGCTCGACGAAGCCCGTCGAGCATGTCGAAGAGAAAGGCCCCGCCCTCGCTTGGGCGCAGCCGATCTCGCCGTCGACGAGAAGTTCGCGACGGATTGGTCGACAAAATGGGCTTTTGCAGTTCGACGGAAGTTGCGGTCGAGCAGGCTCTGCTCGACAGAATCTGGTCGACGAGCTCTGCGCGACGAGTTCTGGTCGACGATCTCTGCGCGACGAGCTCCCGTCGAAGAGCGCTGGTCGACGATCCTGGTCGAGGAGCTCTGTTTCGAAGAGTTCGGGTCGAGGAACTCTGGTCGAGGAGTTCGGGTCGAGGAGCTCTGTTCGGCGAACGTTGTTCGACCGATCGATGTCGAGCTGATCGACCGAAGTTGCAGAGTTGTGCGAAACTCTGTGGAGGCGTGCGAACTTTCGCCCAGGAGATTTTGGCGAAGTTCTACCTGCGGAACGGCAGAACGTGCTCGACGGTGCGCACCTGGCGAAACCGACGACACGTTTTCTACCTGGCACCTGCGCAATGTGCCTGACGGTGAAACCGCCAACCTGCACCTACTTGGTAGGTGCGCACATCTGCGCTGGTAGACAACCTGCGACTGCAGATAGTTACCTGCGACTGCAGATAGTCACCTGCGACTGCAGTGCTGGCAGACCGCGCACAGTGCAACGTTGGCAGATCACTCTGCTGCAACGTTGGCAAGCCGCTCTTCTGCTGCGCTGGCAGAATTCGCCCTTGCTAGGTTCTGCATGCCATTCTAGTCTATTCATTCTGCATGCCTCAAGTGTACTATCAACTTTTCATTGCAAGTTGTGACTTTCCTTAGTGGAATTCTTGCCAAACTTCTCTGTGAACACAAGCAAGCAGTAAGAACGCTATTGCAAGCTACGATCACTCGCACAACCCCGTGCCCTCCACCGTAGTCCACTCCCGTTGTGTAGTGACTCTCCGCAGAGCAGCTCCCTCACAGTGAACGGTCGGCTGCTTCTCCCGTACATCCGACCAAGTCGTCGGCGTTGCCCAAGCGAGGGCGGGGCCAACACTCCATTCCCGTTAACGGATATAGGCAAGGAGAAGGCAATTGGGTGCACCACCAACACAAGGAGTTTATAACTACACATAAGCTACAGCTACAGGCAGGTACATAAATATATTTATATATATATTCTAACAGTTATACAACAATTCCATATCGTAACACTGGCAATTATAAGTACCATATTTACTAGGGATATGCCGACAAAAGCCCAATTTGGGCAGACTAGAGGGATTCTGATTGTTCCCAAGTCAGCAAGTAGGTCTAGGCACAGGCCTATGATAAGGGTGTGGAAAATCCTCATGAAAGTCGCGTTTTTCCAACTTTTGTTGTCTCGACAAATTTTGCCAGGTAACAGTTCGAACTTCGTTGTCAGCTCTCCATAGCCAATCTCGCAACATCGCACTACCATTTGCATCTTTCGGTATAAAGTGTTTGCTCATGCTTTGGCTTGACCCTTAGTGCAATTTTATAGTTTGACTAAATACCAATTTTAGAAAACACATCGCGATATTGATTTTTCTGTGCTGCTGTACAATTCAGATTTCTGTATTCTCTACAAGCTTTTGAGACACACTTGCCGCAAATTAGGGCATCGTTCGTGTCGAGACGTTCTACATGTGAATGGAGCGCCGAACCGCGTGGTTTCGTCAGCTTGAAACTTCTCTCGGCGAAATCCACGGCCCAAGTTAGCCAATCAGCTTCTTTGTATGTGGTTTCGTGATGTCCAGCCACGCCTGTTACCCCACCGGCCATTGCGCTGCCGGCACCATCGCTGAGCAGCATTCACCTGCTTGCTGAGGACTGATCTGATCAGTCGTATCGTAAGTCGTTCATCGAATCAGAGGTTCTCCGCAACTCAAATATCAAGTCCTGAACACGCGAAGCTGAGTTGGGTTCATTGCAATTGGTAGGCGCCTTGCCTTGGATTAGCTCCTGCTGTACGGTCTAAACGGCGTTTATTCATATATTCCATTCTTTGGCGATTAACAAGTGCTTGGACGCAACAGGGACTCCCTGTTGCGTCGGACGCAGTGAGTGATGGGACATTATCGAGATCGCGTCTCGACGCTGTGCTTCCCTTCCTCCTCGGCCACATGTTCCACAATCGGGGTGGTTCTGATTGTCCTTTACTTCGTATATCTCGGGCCTTCGCTTAGGTCACCAATCTCGTCTCCATCTTTTGATGCGAAGGAACTGCACAGAAAGACGGAGGTTTCACATCCACTCGTTCGGGTAGAAGAGTTGGGAGCAGAATTGAGCGACCCGGCGGACCCGGCCCAGACATGGCAACAGAATCAGCAGGATCAGCCGAGTCACCAGGATGAGCAGAACGAGCAGAATCAGCAGGATGAGCATCAACAGAAAAGGCGAGATAAGCGGCCGCAGCCGGGATGGGAGACTCAGGAGCAACGGCAGAAGCGAGAGCAGAAGCTACTTGCGAAGACGCGCAGAAAAGGCGAGTTGGGGAACCTGCGTAGCAGCATAGAAAGCACGCGAGACACGAGGACGGAGGCCCGTGGGCCGACAAACGAGAATGATGACGCAAGAAATTCCCGCGGGAGTAGCAGTCGCAAAGTCGGGAGTCTAGAATCGGAAGCGTGCGAGGGTCGGAAGGTGTATGTGTACGAGTTACCCTCTCGCTTGAACCGCGTGCTGCTAGACGACTGCCTGGATACCAACATCAAGGGCTTCTGCGGCACCAGCAGGCACGGCGGGCTGGGAACCAGACTGCCGCCCTGGAATGACGCGTTTGAAGGGAAGGAGCCAAGCAGCCGTGCTGTTAGCAGCAGCAGCACCAAGGTGAAACCCGATGGTTCTCGACGGTTGCTTTCAGTCAGCAGCAGCAGCAGGAGTAGCAACAGTAGCAGCCAAGGCAACGGCAACCACGGGAGCAGTGTAGCGGAAAGCGGCGAGGGTTGGAGAAACCAGTGGTATGCGACCGAGAACTTCAATCTAGCTCTCATCTTCCACTCGCGTCTCCTGCAGCACCCCTGCCGAACCTCCGACCCAGACTCGGCAGATCTCTTGTTCATCCCGGCGTACCTGGGTTGGATGATTTGGTCGCTCGTGGAACACGGGCTCTTCGTGAAGCGAGATGAACCCGTGGCTGACCTTGAGAGGTTTTTACTGGATAATGCGGATTTTAAGAGGCTCGTGAATCGTGGCGATCACGTGCTCGTTCTCGGCCGTCCGATCTGGGACTTCATTCGCGTACTGGATAAGCCTCAAGGATGGGGGACTGATCTGTGGTGGCGACCTACCTTCAATAACGTCACACTACTTACAGTGGAGGCTCCTACGGAGTGGCTTGAACGGGAGGTATTTTCTGTTCCTTACACGACCTGTTTTCATCCTGTAGGCTCGGCCGACCTGGAGGGGTGGGTTCGGCATGTTCGGGAGCAGCCTCGGCCGTACCTGTACTCGTTTGTAGGCGGGAAGCGAGCGCATGCGACCTGGGAGGGCTCGCTAAGAGGCGTCTTGCTGAACGACTGTGAGAACGATCCTAAGAGGTGCATCTTTTTAGAGTGTACTGTTGCTGATGCGGAGGCCGCGACTGCAGCAGCCGTGGAGATAGGCAGGCAGGCGCAGAAACGGAAGGAGGAGGGGAACGGCAGGGAGGGGAAGGAGAAGGAGAATGAGATTGAGCCAGATTTTCCTCTGAGAGGATGCATGGATCCCAGGAGAGTGGCTGGTGTGCGTGCCTTCTCTTTTAGGGGCCTCGTGCTGTTTCGCACTTCAGGCATGTTCTGAACTTTGAGACAAACATAGAGCATCGAGCATTCGGCATCTTGCATACTTCTCTAAGGTATACTTGTGAGGTTCATTCCATACCGCTCTTCCGGGCCCCACATCTCAGGCATCAAGCATCCTCTACTTTGAGACGCTCGATGTGCCACTGCCAGAGCTGGAGAAACTCCCGACGCTCGTGACTCTCGACATCGCGTTTCATGGCAGCAAAGCAAACGCGGTAGGTGCGAAGTCTCGGTACGAGCGACGCAGGCACGAAGGTATCACCACGTTGCAGAAATGTTTGGTGTTCTGCGTGTTCCGCCGTCTTCCGCCGGTGAGTCTCTCTGTCTATCACCTTTATGTAGGAGGTCCTACTTGTTATTATTTGGGAAGACGTTGCGTTCATGCTTCACGTTCTGGATATTATCCAACCACTGCAATTACTGCATGCTCGACGTGCGATGAGGGCATGCGTTGCAGGGGTACCATGTGGCCTTTGGATTTCATGTGTTCCTTTTTGCACATCAAAGTTAGCCTACGTATGCAAATTAGGTCTCTGATTTTTCTTCACCTCTTGTGGTCGACAATCAAAGGCCTTTCGCTCTTTAGTAGGAACTTCTCAGTACCATGACAAGACAAAATGCATACATACACATGTGGTTGCAATGTGTAATGTCAGGCCTTTTATCAAGAAAACGGCTCATTTTGCCTGAAATGCGGGCTGGCCCTGCCCATTTCTACCTTGACATATTCCTCTATTCTTTTCTTCTTTGATTTGGGATTCTTGTTCTTCAGGTGTCGATGCACAGAATTCGGCTGGACCGGCAATTTACAGTCACAGATGTCCTTGCACAACTGAAGACAAAGGTAGGTAGCTGTGATAAGCATTGCAATGTCCAACATGAGCTTAGCTTATAACAGCAGGTGAGTTTGCAACCTAGAAGTATATCTTCTAATTTTTTACACTACTCTAATTTGGGGTGTGTGTGTGTGTGTAGTACACCGATGCTTCCTTTGTACCACCCTATCCGCCATGCTGTACCATTCAATCACTCTTATGTGTAACACTTCTTTTGATCACGCCATGCGAATCCCTGTTGCTCTCTTTGCCGGCTGCCAGGTGGAGCTCTCTCACCCGGAAGTACAGCTGCGGCTGCTGGGGGTGTTTCCTGACAAGATGTGCCAAATTTTGCCGCACACTGAGAGGATTGAGAACATTGATTCCCAGAAGTGGGCCATTCATGCTGAAGAGGTGAGCACACCAGCACATCGTTTATGGCTGTTGTCTTTCTCCAACATGTGCCTCAGGTGTGTGGGGAGGGGGACACCTGAATGTGTACCATCCACTATTGTGAATGTGTACCATCCACTATTGTGAAAGTGTACCATCCACTATTGTGAATATGTACCATCCACTATTGTGAAAGTGTACCATCCACTATTGTGAAAGTGTACCATCCACTATTGTGAAAGTGTACCTCTGATGTTCGACGATCTCAATGTGTCCGCCATTGCGACCATGCACTCCACTTGTTCAGGTTGAGTCGCACCTCAGCTGATGAATCCTCACTGTGAGCCTTCCACGAAGCTGTTGGTCCCATGCGTTAGTGTTGGGAGTATCTCAGTGCGGTTGTGAGTCCGTTTAATGTTAGCAATGTTGGCAACGTTGAAATCGCATGATTTTTTGTGTATGAAATCTGTTTGTTGCTAATCACATGGATTCACTAGGCCTCTGAGGATGGTAGTTGATGATTTCCAATTTACGCTATACTTGACTGATCTCCGGCTGCTGTTTTTTTTTGGCAGGTGCAGATCCCGTGAGTGGTGTTTGGGCATGGGAGGAGGGAAAATGGTAAGAGCAGATCAGGGGAGTAGGTGGGAGAGTAGACAAAAGGCGATAGGCTTGAGCTGATCGCGGTGTGACCCAGAGCACGTGAGCATAGACACACCAAGGACTTGACGCTCGAGCATCTGCGCAAACCAGTGGGGCTCCTGAGAGGGAGGGGCGAGGTGGGGAAAGGGGATATGAATCTGCCCAGTGCCTGCTGCTGTGCAGCTCTACCGCTCTAATCACGTGCTGACCGCCTGATTTCACGCGGACCATTCGATTGCATGCAGACCGTCTGATCTGATGTGCTCATGCTGTGGCTTGCCCTCACCTGGTCGGTTGTTCTAAAAGCTCCTAGCATCAAGGATTGCTCCCATTTAGTTTGGGGGGTAGTGCTACAGTACGAGGGTTTGAAGTAGCATGCAACACAGTACGGTAGTAGCGTGTGGGTCAATTACTGTCAATTAGCATAAAGTTGGGGTTGTTGCAACACACTACCGTAGTATGTGGTGTAGGGTATATTGACAGTCTTGACAGTATGCAAACACACGCACGCGCACACGCACACGCGCGCGCATGCACACGCACACACACACACACACACACACACATACACACACACACACACACACACACACACACACACACAGCACGCACGCACGCACGCACGCACGCACGCACGCACGCGCGCTCGCGCGCTCGCACTCACGCTCGCGCACGCGCACGCGCACCGCACGCACACGCATACGCACGCATACGCACAAACACATACTCAAACACGCGCACACACGCGCACGCACACGCATACGCATACGCACGGATGAGAGGGTAAAGTGGTGTGCATGGATGGTTCAGTCGAGGCACGAGCGTTACTCGATCCCAAGTCTTCTGCATGCCATGCCACCCCTCTCTATGCCTCGCCATGCCTCCGCACGCACCCCTCGTCACACCTCGTCCCCCCCGATCCCCCCACCACCTGCCATCCCCCCAGCGCACCTTCCAGTACCCGCGCCTGTTGACGGGCGACCACACATGCGCGCTCTTGTAATGCGCCTCGTCCAATCCGCCGAACACAACCTCCGCGGCTATCTCCGCTGTCAGGTCCCGGTTGAACCCAAATCGAGAACATGGGCTCGGGCACCAGCCCCTGCCCCACCATGTTGTACCACGGCGTCGATGCCGCTCACGGAGATCTCCTTAAAGCCCAGCCCCATGATCCCGTCGAATTTCGCCGCGAAGAACGCGAGGCCCGGCTCGCTGGTGGCCTCCGCGAAGGTCTGCCCCGTTATAGTCACGTTGTCGATAGTCACGTGGTCCTTACACTGAAAGCCCTTCATGGCGCTGGTACCGTACTGGATGGCGAACGGCGTGCCGTCCACCTCGTACGAGCTCGACTTTCGCGAATGTTACTTGGCGTGTTTCAGACACGCCAGCTGCGAGGTGAGACGGGGTGGGAAGAGAGGAGGTGAGTCGTGCGACGACAGTGGAAGGGAGAAGGGCGGGAGGAAGGAGAAGGGGGAGTGGAAGGGAGAAGGGCGGGGAGTGGAAGGGAGAAGGGCGGGGAGTGGAAGGGAGAAGGGCGGGGAGTGGAAGGGAGAAGGGCGGGGAGTGGAAGGGAGAAGGGCGGGGAGTGGAAGGGAGAAGGGCGGGGAGTGGAAGGGAGAAGGGCGGGGAGTGGAAGGGAGAAGGGCGGGGAGTGGAAGGGAGAAGGGCGGGGAGTGGAAGGGAGAAGGGCGGGGAGTGGAAGGGAGAAGGGCGGGGAGTGGAAGGGAGAAGGGCGGGGAGTGGAAGGGAGAAGGGCGGGGAGTGGAAGGGAGAAGGGCGGGGAGTGGAAGGGAGAAGGACGGGGAGTGGAAGGGAGAAGGACGGGGAGTGGAAGGAAGGAGAATCGGGTCTGGGAGACGGGGGACGAAACTGTGACGAGATGCTTCAAATCAAGTCGTGAAAAAGGGTTTAGGTGGGGGAAGACAAGGACGTCAAGATAAGCACATCGGTTGGACGTTATATGCATGGGAAACGCCAGGCTGCTGTTGCGGCACTTAATCAGGGGTGGCATAAACACGGGAAGCACAGGACAGCACATGCGGACAGCAAAGGGCGAGGTGCAAAGGTGTAGAGGGGCGGGATTGTGGGAACTGGGCAGCACATGAGAGGGGAGTAAAGGCAGCGAGAGGCGAGGGGAGACAGAGCGCGCGCAAGAAGAGGAGAAGCTACAAAAAGGCGAGGGGACGCATACATGGGAGAGGAGAGCAGCAGGGAGACCGCCGATGAGGCTGCCAGATGGGAGAAAGGCGATGGCTGGGAAAGGAGCGAGGGGTGCGAAGGGGGATGCCTGCGCGGAGCAGTGGCGATGGGGAGAGGAAGAAGGACGTGGGGCGAACAAGGATTGGAATAACAAGAGGCAGAAGCGAGGGCGGTGGAGGATTGATAGGCGATGCAGGGGAAGATGGGGTGAGGTGAGGGCTGGGAGGGGAATGGCTGGGAAATAGGAGCAATGGGGAGAGGCAGCGCGACGGGACGACCGGATGGATAATGGACAGTGAGGATGGCATAAGGCCGGACCATATATTACACCCACATGAGTGAGAGGCACATGCATGGAAACGCACACTATTTTCCCCGTGGAGGAAACTTTGCAAGCATATGTTGGTTGGATCATATATTACACCCATATGGCACAATGGTCCGCTGTGCCGGCAGGGCTTGGGAACGGAGCTGCTGAGCTTTATGTGTAAAGTGGAAGGGACTACAGTGGGAGAGGGAGGGCTGTTCACGGTGCGAGGCATGGCATGGCTCATGGGGCAAATTGTGCCGGCGTGTGATAGTTAAGGCCATGCGGGAGGCGTTGCCGAGAGCAGGAGGTGTGTGGCCGAAGCAGCAATCTGCTGTGCCTGCAGGGAATGCGGACGAAGCTGCTGAGTGCAGTGGAAGGTGCTGGGGTGAGTTCCATTAGTGTAACAGAAGGGAGCACTGTTGGAGTGGGAGGGCAAATCTCCTGGGACCATGAGGCATGGCTCGACTCATAAGTCCAACTGTGGAGGCGTGTGCTGCTGTGGACGAGGTGGGGAAGCAGAAGGGATGCTGTTGGAGTGAGAGGGCTTGCTTAGCAGGTTGTCACTGCAAGAGGCATAGCATGGCTTCTGAGACGAAGGGATGGTGGGAAGCATTTCGCAGTTGGTGGGCTGAGTCGTGGAGGCGTGGGCAGCTGTGACGGGAGGTGCGTACTCGGAGAAGCGGCAACAGCAGCACGTGCAGCACCAACAGTAGCACCAACAGTAGCACCAACAGTAGCACCAACAGTAGCACCAACAGTAGCACCAACAGTAGCACCAACAGTAGCACCAACAGTAGCACCAACAGTAGCACCAACAGTAGCACCAACAGTAGCAGCAGTGCAGCACCAACAGTAGCAGCAGGTGCAACACCAGCAGCAGCAGGGTTGGTAAGGGTATGAAGCAGACTATTGTGAGGGAACGCACGCTGCATTGGCAATGAAGTGGATTGCTGTACTGCGCTGTGCCTGTAACGCATGTTAGTGTGCTAATGAGCTGTGTGCTTCAGATGGGTATGGAGCTGTCATGAAAATGGGCTCGAGTGGCTATGTACTTACGGTACCGTACGTGTTTCGGGGGATAACAAGTTAAAAGGTCCCTCGTCGTATTAACTTTCACTTCTAGCTAGGACTCCCACAATTTTTTGTGGCCTGGAACGAAATGCCTATGGTGTTTCAACATTGAAACAAGCCATCGTACCGTATCGCATATATAGACACTGACAAACTGCAATTGTTTCAGGGGTGCTTACAACGAGCACACGCTGACCATGACAAACGTGAGTGACATGGTGAATGTGTATGTGCGGATGATGTTTTTGTGGTTCCCACCAATCAAAAGGACGTGGTTGCTTTTTGCTCTAATCTCTACCAAACATAAGAAAGCTGTTTAAACGTGTACTATCACATCACACGGAAACGAAGTGAATTCATCTGAGACTTCCCAAGGGCTCTGTACATCATCAGGGACAGATATGTTTGCACCACGCGCCGCGTCACCTGCAAGTCTCGCTGCACCGTTAGGGCTTTGCCCTCGTCGTTCTTATCGTTAATCCTCTCTTTACACTGTCGGATGGAGCGAGCGTCGTTGCGATGCATCATGCACGATGCACGATGCGTCATACATGCCCCTGCGCGACATGTGCTTCTCTATGCGACGCCACTTTCTCATGCAGCTGCAGTCGCGTCGCGTTGGTTGGAGACTCCCCTGCGGCCCTGCGCGATGGCCACTAGGTAATAGTGAAAACGAGGGAAGAAGTTTGCGATACCATTTGTGGAGCGACTCGAGTGTTTATCATAGCTCGGTGAAGCCGCATGGACTTGAGCAATCCGACCTGTATTCTTATTCTGACACCTGGCTAGGAAGTCGTCCCTCGACACCAAGTGGTTGTCATTCGTTTAGCATTCTGAATGGCGTGCGTTCCTTCTCATCCCCTGCTGTCATCACGCAAAGAATCCTTGTGTTAGGAGAAGGGGTATTTTTTGGTCTTTCTCCTAACAGATCTTACTCCCGCCTCACCCAGTTTTCTTAGCACCATCGTAACGATTCCGATCGGATTCCTACCTTTCCGTTTTCCCCGTACAGCAACGCGCATTAGATCCGAATCATCCGTAGTCCGCACGGCACAAGTGACCCGCCGATCTCCAAGGGCACCAGATCTCCAAGGGCACCAGATCTCCAAGGGCACCAGATCTCCAAGGGCACCCGGTCTCCAGGTTGCCGCAACGCTGCTTCCGTGACAAGCGTCCGATTGAGTACTAACAGCGACGGTGAGAATGGTGGTGGGTGGGTAAATGCCTGTGACCTCGATGTTGCCGCCGCTGGAAGGTCTTTTAGGTGGCTCTTATCATGGAATGCCGCGTCTTCTGTATGCATGTGTGATCATCATCTAAATTCTTAGGTTTGCGTAGATGTTGCTGTGAAGGAATTCGCGAACAACGTTTGACCATTGTTTTTTTCCCATTTCTTGCAGTTCTCCCTTAGAATCCCATTCCAGTACGAGTCTCAGTTGCTGTCACCCATTTGTTAGTCGCCCTTCTCCTTCTCTCAGCTTTCCCTTGTCATATCATTTTATCTCTCTTGGATCCGCGCAAGCGCAGGCCAGAAGGTGGAGGGCGTGAAAGAGCTGAGATCCTAAAAGGCTGAAAGCAGTGTGGACACTGGACACTATGGAAGGTAAGCATGCTGGGCCCTTGCAAGCTAAAGGGTGGTTGGATTGACAGTCGGCTTGTTCATGCAGGTGTTGTTTCATAATTCTCAACAGCAGCCTCTTTCCAGTATCCTTAACTGTCGCCTTGTCTCATGTGCGGCTCGTGTCTCAAGCAGCAGCTGTTAACCGCACGCAACCTCCTGCTCTTCTGCATTCTTTCCCTCACCACCTTACCGTGCCCTGCTGAACTCCCTCTGCTGCAGTCGATACCTTGTCGGGAACTTTCCGGTGGCAGATTGATGACTTTTCCATGCTGACAGAGCAGAGAGTTTACTCCAACACCTTCCTGGTTGGGGGGTACACCTGGTGTGTGCTCGTGTTGGTCGCTGTTCAGGCACTTGCTGGCAGACTTTGCAGATACAAAAGGTTACCTGCACCCCATAGCTTTCTTCCCTGGTCATCCTCACTCCTGACTTATTCTTGGCACAACCCTCCAAAACTCGCAATGTTTCCCTGCCTTCCCATTCCCCCAAATGCACGTCAGCTATCATCTAACTTTTTCAGCTTAAATCCCAACTTCTTGTCTCTTCCCTTTTCAAGCGGTTGCTTGCAGAGGTTTTGATGTGCACGTTTCTTTGCAATTTCATGTTCCTGCCCCCTCCTCCCTTCTAAGTCAAGGACATCATCAGATTCTATTCGATTCCGCTCGCTGCGTCTGCATCCCCTCATAGGATATCTTATTCCTTCCTCCCCTTCCCCTCACCTCCTAACTGTCGTCATCTTTCTCAACGATTGCCCACCTTCCGTTCTCTGTCCAGGCGGGTTCTGGTGTACCTGGAGGGGAGCCAGAAGTCAGAAGACTTGTCGTTGTTCCTTGGAATGGCAAATGCTGCAACTCTACAGCCCGGTTGGACCAAGCGCGTGGACTATGTGTTGACTGTCGTCAACCAGTTTGACCGGACGAAGTCAGTGCGGGAAGGTATGTATGGGTGAGCAAAGCACAAAAGGGATGAGGAGGGGGTTGAGATGAATGGGTTTTTGTGGGGAGTGGAGAATGGTACAAGGCATGCGGAGCGCAATCATATAGGTCATCGGTTGACTTGCGTCAATCTGAGTGATTTTCGAGGCGCCTAGAAAATCATCCTACTTCTCGTGGGCACAGTTCAATCTTCTTGACAGGCTGGAGTTTGCTGGAGTTCATAAGCTTCCTCCCTCTCCGCTTTTCCATCTTATCTCACGTGATTCCTAGAAACGAGCAAGCTGTTGCACGCGGATACGAGTGGGGCTGGCCTTCCATCATGCCACGCGAGGAGCTCAACGATCTTTCTAAAGGCTTCCTCGTTAACGACACAGTGATTTTTGAAGCCGAGGTTAAAGTGTGAAATAAATCAAAGATTCAGACTGGATACGTGGGGCTTAATAACCAAGGGGGGCTGAACTGTTTGGCCCCGTTGATACAGATGCTGTTCCACATCCCCTTCTTCCGGAAAGCCGTGTATCGTTTTTCTGCTTCTGAGAGCGACCTTCATGCTGGCAGCATTCTCTTAGTGCTGCAAGGCATATTCTACAGGCTCCAGTTCACCGATTCTAGTGTTTCCACCAAGAACTTAACTAAGAGGGTCAAATGGGAGGATGGAGACTTGTCAAAGAAGCATGACCCGAGGGAGGTGTACCGGATGTTGCGTATGAAACTGGAGGCGGAGATGAAGGACTCATCTGTGGATGGCACGATGGAGAAGCTGTTTGGTGGTCATCTCATGAACTACGTTGAGTGCATCAATGTAGACCACAAGTCCTCCTGGAAGCAAGCATTTGATGGTGAGTGGTGGTGAGCATGAGCGTTATTCCTTGTGCTTTTTGAAACTGGTCTCTACAACTCTCTGTTTTTGGTTGTGTCCTTCTAAGTCTATAATTTGGTTTCTGGTCGTTTTTATGCTGTGCAGGCTTGGTGCTGGATGTGAAGGGGTGCAAGGACGTGTATGCGAGCTTGGACAAATATGTGGAGATGAAGCAGCTTGAGGGCAACACCAAGTTCTACGTGGAACCGCATGGGGCGCAGGTGAGTGTTTGTTGCATGATGGGAGATAAAACTATGTTTGGCTTCGCGGTCATGAATTAGCGAAAGCATGCAGATAGGCTTTCTGAAATTTATCTCTAGGGGCCATACAGCCAGCAATGCAGGAACTGTGGGAGAGATGTGCTTATGCTGTTTGGAAGCGGTACAGGCTGAGTCGAAATGGTCTGAATTTCATCTATTCTCATCTGAAATGGGCAGGTTTTGTTTTCGTGGGCCACGTGTGAGCTCAAAATCAATGATGTGTCACACATCTCCAGATTTTATCCATTTTCAGAAACTCGTTTTT